AAGATATTCCCGAAGCATAACTAGAATGAGTGAGGCCCACGGATCCAAAGGTTCCGCGTCTTCGTCGCTATCGTTGTTCAATGTGCCGTCAAATACACCTGGAAGTAGCTCGGCAATTTTAGACGTCTCTACATTGATGATGGCATTCCTAGGGATGGTGAAAAGAGTGGAGTCTTCTGGGATATCCCTGGTGGCAACTATGTGGTTCAACGACGGATTTTTCAGTCAAAGCTTCGACATCACCTACCAATGCCTCTACCAGCGTCTTCAATCCTAAGATCTCTGATCTCGAGCAGGTCGTCACGGAACTCGCCTCCGACCGATTTGAACCAGGCTAGAAAACGGTCGGTGGCAGCCTGGAAGTCGGCCATGCTATCTGACGATAAACGAAGGAAACGTCAACTCTAAAATGGAAGCTATGCGTGAGAGAACAGTCCGGGAGAAAACCTTTGGCTTATCTTATCGTCACGTGCGCGGGCGTTTAGCGTGTTTTGATCCGCGCGCCACACCTCTGTCAATTCAACGCTCGACATGGGACGCAACGCGTTCCTCTGTACCCATGGATGCATTGCTGGAAGGACTCAATGATGCGCAAAAGAGCGCGGTTACCAGCCCAGCCAACGTGGTGCAGGTGCTGGCGCCTCCAGGCTCGGGCAAGACGAAGACGCTCACCGCACGCGTCGCGTATCATATCAACCATGAGCGACTACAGCCATGGAACATCATCGTATGCACGTTCACGATCAAAGCTGCAAAGGAGATGAAGGAGAGGATCAAGGGCTTTGTAGGTGACAAGTTGGAAGCAAAATTGATCTTGGGGACATTCCATTCTGTAGCCCGTCGCTTCCTCTCACGCTATGGTCAAGAGATTGGCATCGACAAGAATTTTGGCATTGCAGACACCAGCGACAGCACTTCCATACTCAAGCGCATCATCAAACGTTACGACTACACCGTGGAGCCCGGACATGCCCGGTCCAGGATCTCCAAACTGAAAGCCAAGGGCGTCTCCGCGGATGACTTCCGGAAAACCTCCAAGAACGTCAACGACAACGAGTTCGCTCAGGTTTACTCGTCTTACGAGGAACATCTGAACGCCGCGAACCTTCTCGACTATGACGATCTTCTTGTACGATGTGTAGAACTGCTGAAGAAGTCACCATCGTGCGTTTCAACCATTCAAGCTGTTCTCATCGATGAGTACCAGGACACCAACACCATCCAATACGAGTTGATGCAATTGTTGGCGCAGAGAACACGACGGATCACGATTGTTGGCGACCCCGATCAGAGCATTTACAGCTTCCGATCTGCCGAGATTGAGAACTTGCATCGCATGCGCGCGGATTACCCAGAGTCCATTGTTATCAATCTCGAAAACAACTACCGATCTTCTGGTCGAATTATTTCGTCAGCCAAGGCTGTCATTGAGCAGGACGAGAATCGGCCGCAGAAGCCACTGACAGCGACACATGGTGTGGGAGAACAACCTACCCTACGGCATCTAGCCAATGCACATACTGAGGCCAAATGGATCGTGGAAGAGATCCAGCGATCCAAGACACTTACGGCTGGACTACTGGAATACAATGACTACGCTATCCTGCTGCGGTCTTCTCAGCTTTCACTCCAGATTGAGAGAGCATTGGGGCAAGCAGGTATTCCCTATCGCATGGTTGCCGGTACGAAGTTCTTTGACCGTGCCGAAATCCGAATTGTTTTGGACTACCTGCGCGTCATCAGTCAGCCAGACCACAACGATGCAGTGGCGCGCGTCATCAACGTTCCAACTAGAAAAGTTGGAGAGGTGACCATCAAGGCCCTGCTTGAAGAGGCGGAGACGCGAAAAGTCACACTCTGGAGTCTGGTCTTGGACACGGCGCAAGGCAGGCGGAAGCCAGAGAGCAAGGTTTCTGCACAAGCACAGAAGGGCATCGAGCAGTTTGTCAACATCATCTTGACCAGTCGTCTGAAGCTCATGCCAGGTGAGGGCGAGGATTGCAACCTATTAGACCTCATCAACCATGTTTTGCAGAAGATCGCATTCCCCGCGTATCTAAGACAAACCTATAAAGAGAACTGGGAGGATCGATGGGCGAATGTGGAAGAGTTGGTGGCCCAGGCAACGCAGATGGCCACCGCCGTGGCCAACGGGGAAGAGATTTCTGATGATGCACTGCCAGTTGTTGAAGACATCGAGCAACGAGAAGACACTGCTGCCGACATTCTCTCCAAGTTTCTCGCCAATGTCACACTCTCGAGTGCTGCAGACCAAGAAGGCAGCGAACTGAACCAAGTCACCATCTCCACTATCCACGCAGCGAAGGGTCTGGAATGGCCGATCGTTTTCCTGCCCGCCATGTATGACGGCTCGATACCTCACTCGCGAGCAGAAGACCACGACGAAGAACGACGCCTGCTCTACGTCGGCATGACCCGTGCACAAGGCCTCCTCTACCTAAGCTGTCCCGTCAAACAATCCGGCCAAGAAACAACCACACTTTCGAAATTTGTCTCCGATCGAAAAATACAAAAGCTCTTCAGCAACCGCGGCCCAGATCTAGCTTTCAAGCGCAGCACGATCCCCGACCTTGCCCGCATTCTTCGACGGCCTTGTCCAGAGCCTGCGGATATAATAGCAACTCATGCGCTCCTCGAGCGTCTGGAGGATGACCAGTATCCTGCTACACGAGAGGAGATTGAGGACGATAGTTCGCGCTGGGGCGTATCGCACGACGACAGATTCGACGATCTTGCAATGCCATCTTCCAAACGACGCAAGTTCGACAACCCCCAGTACGAATCCTATTCTGGCCAAAAAGTGTCAGTCAGCATGCACCAATCCGCCACCTTTTCCACCGCAACAACGACCATGCACGCCGCAAAGGGTGGCTTCACCAGTGCCCGCGACGTAGCTGATCTCCAAGCCATCCAGCAAGAAGCAGAACGCATCCGCATGCTCGCCAGCACTTCTGCTCCTGCCAGCAGACCTGTGGCAAAAAATGCATTTAAAGCCTTGCAATCCTCCGACGCCAAACCCGCGCGCGGTAAACCCGTTAAGGCGCGAGCAGTGGGTCAAAACGCTATTACCAGCTTCTTCAAGCGCTCGGGTAGTACGCTGTCTGAGGGCGCAGACTTACCTGCTGCACTCCCTGCAATGCCGATGTTCCAGCGCTCACACTCTTCGCTATCGGAGAATGGAAGCGGAAATACAGTGTTGAACGATATATCGAATCTCCAGCAACCCCCTGCACCCCGCGCTTTCCAACCCCCTTCTCTTTCCCTACCTACACATAAACTGCAATCCCGCCCCATCCTCAACAAGCCTAAGAAGTCTGTCCATGAGGAAGAGAGCGAGAGTACACGGTACGTTTTACTGTCTAGTTCACCAATCAAACCGGATTTCGACGAGGACCCTACGCTGGGTGGTGAGACGCCGGAAGGTACGAGTAGTGTGGGGTTTAAGAAGGTGGCGACGACGTTTCATACGACTAGCATGAATGCGTTGCAGAATCAGAATTTGGGGCAGGGTCAGAGTGGGGTGAGGAAGACGTTGGGGACAAGACGGACGATGGAGGGGTGGAGTGTTAAGAGGAGTGGGATGCCGAAGCCGAGGGGGGGTTGAGGGTCGGGTGTTTGGTGGGATGGAGAGGCGTTGTGGCATGTTGGTTTGATTTTTCGTTCGAGGACCGAGGAATTGGTCTTCTGGTGGGTGGCATTTTCACATGGGCCGCGTATTGTAGGGACTTTGAGTCTGGTATAGTGGTATGGATACCTTGTTGTACATTGCATAATGAAAACCCGTAGTACTCTCTTCCGTGTGTCCGTAGACCCCTCTACTACCTCCAGGCTCGATCGCAATATTACTACATGAATGTACACAACCCCACGTATACGTATCCTCTACTTCTCCCTCCAAAGTAGAAACATACATCCCTCGCTCCTCCAACCCCCCATATCCCGTACCCCTCGCTAATCATGCTCAATAGCCCTCTCCTCCATCGCCACGACCGCCCCTTCCAACTCCCTAATCCTCCCCCCAACCCGTCTCCTAACCTCCTCCCCAACCCGCTCATCGCCCCCTTCAACAACGCTCTTATAAAACTCCACCAACTTATCCAATTCCTCCCTCGCCGCCGCACGATCATCCTCCGCATACATAGTATTCTTCTCGCTCTCCTCGCTCGCGATTTCAAACTCGTCGCGCGCGGTGCCGTAGAGTTCGCTTATTTCGTCCATTGCAGCGTCGACGGCGGATTGGGCGTCGGGAGGGAGACTAGGGTGGGGTTTTGGGGCGGCGGTTTCGGAGGCGAGGGTAGGGTGGGGTGTGGAGGTGAATGTGCGGACGGAGGAGAGTACGTTGGTTGTTGCGGGGGTGAAGCGCGTCCAGGTTGTTGTGCTGGCGAGGAGGGAGATGTTGCGGGATGTGTAGGGGGGTGGGGGCGAGGGCGTGCGTGGACGCGGGGTTTGGGTGGTGGTGGTGGAGAATTGCTGGGTTAGCGGGTAGGAGGTGCGTTGGGTGGCTATGGCGGTTGCGCGTAGGGTGGTTTGGCGGAAGAGGGTGCGGAGGGGAACGCGGCTGGATTGCATTTTGGGCGCTGAGGTGCTGTGGTAGGAGGATGATGGGGTGGTGGTGCGCGGGGCGGGGAGTGTGCGGCGGGCGCAGAGGCGCAGGGCTGGCGCTTTGGTGAGGATTGTGTGTGACATTGTTTTTTTGGGGGGGGTGCGTGATGGATGGGCGGTGGTGGGTGAGATGGGGGGAGTTGGGGCCTGAGGTTTGCGCGGAGTTAAGATTCGGGTGATGATATCAGCGGTGCATTAAGACACGATACAGCACAGTGCCGAGCTTCGGCCTAGACTAGAGCAACTCCACCACTGGGCATGGGAACAAAGACTGCATCGATGTCCACGACTTTAGGCAACTCACACTTCAGCGGAGACCTTCTCATGTTCTGGATATTGTAATTTTTTTTCTAAACTCGTCCATCGAAGCATCACCAGCGGGAGTTGTCTAGTGGTCATGATGTCTGCTTTACATTTGATAAACGAATGGAAGCGCAGGAGGTCCAGGGTTCGACCCCCTGCTCTCGTAAGGTTTCTTTTTGCAGATGTATCATCACGAAACGTCCTTAGGGTGCTCACGAAGCAGATTTGCAGTAAGGTTGTGGATCAAGATTTTTTTTTAGTTGTGAATAGAAGTCTGAGGTTCTTGCGTCCATGGACATGCAGCTTTCAAATTAGCTGTACTACTGCCATCTTGTACTTAATAAAATAACGCTTAGGTAGTTCATGCAATGCAAGGCGTTGGAGGACCAATGCGAACTCCAATTCTAAGCCTATGCTTTGAAGGCCTCAAATGGTCTATTCAACACTTTGACGTTCTTCAAAGGCCCTTTATCTACTATACCACAGTGTTGCAGCAATTGCAAAATAATCTGCAGCACACGCTTTGAAATGACAGCTTTTCTCTTGTATTAAACATGCATCGCATGCGAAGAACTTCCTTTAAATCAACGAGGAGGTTAGTTGCTTGATTTCCTAACCGTCAGATTGCTGTTACCCGTGCAAGACTTATGGCTTCCTGTCCCTTCTCAAGCATGCAGTGAACTCTCGATTAAGAACAAGTAGGGGAATATTCCTACGTGTATTTTTGCCGAGTAATAAATAACATGCGTGCGCATAAACAGATGGTATTTATCTGCGACCTCAAGGATATATATATATATAGAGTACACATGTGATTGTCCTACAAGTTACTGTGTGCGTCGCCGGACGTTTGATTCTGGCGCAAAGAGCAAGTTGCATACCTGCTGCGCATTCCACAGAGCAGTCGCGCGGTGCACTGCTGGTTCGCGATTTCAAGATGTATTTTGTAAGGCTGCAACTTGCGCCCATCTTGCAATTGTAGGTAATCCTTGTGCACAGTTCTATCGCATCGCAAACAAACTTACCTTCTTTTCACGCAAAAACCCCCCACCCATCATCCGCCCACTAACCCCGAAAATCTTTTAAGCTCCACCCCACCCACCATCATCGCACCACCACTCAGTCGTCTTGCCGAGGTCTGGTGGGTCCCGCACGCACACCAACCCAACCTCACCAAACCCCCTCTCTCCACCAGGCCCCTCAATCTTTGTCGGGAATATATATGCTATTTTTCCCAGCCATCCCATCAAAGCATCTAACCAGCTTTCAAATCGGTTGCATAGTGTAGTGGTTATCACTCCAGATTTTGACTTGGTTCAAAATTTCTGGTAACCCCAGTTCGAACCTGGGTGCGACCTTCATTTTTTTGTCTTTGCGCACACCAGGAGGAGCTTTGTAGGCGGGTTTGTGGCATAGTGTTGAAGGCTGCGCTGTGGATTTTTTTTGGCGTTTGGCATGCAGGCAGGCAGGAAGAGAAAGCGAAGTCACTTGATTGCGTGGTTGGGGTTGGTGTGGTGAGGTTTGTATAGAGCTAGAGTTGGAGTTGGGAGTTGGGTGGGACGGTGCGCGACTTTGCTTGTGGGTTTGAAGAGTTTGGCAAGAGGGTCGTGATTTTTTGAGATGGGATTGCTGAAGGGTTGGTGCATCAATGGATGTGAGATGGGAAGAGGAAGATGGTTGTATTTATTGATTTGGAGGGTGTCGGGGGTATCTCCTATGCTACTGCTACTTGTATATTGTTCCTCTGCCCAGCAAATTCCCATGTGCCACTCCGGCTATAACCTATACCCAATGAATCCTATCCTATTGCTGTGCGTATCCATAATCCCAATTATCCCCAAAGCCAAACAAACGCCATCGCTCGAAAGAACCCAACGCTCAATCCAAAACACAACACCATACTCGCTCACTTACCAACAAACCAATAAACTCGAATCTCCACATTCGCAGTAACAAGAAAAGCAAGATTACAATCACAATCACCACCACCGACTCCCCTTCCCCCCCTTCGTCGCACACCCCAAACACACCCTCCTCGCACCCACAACCGCACAAGTCCCACACACGCTCTTCCCACACTCACAGCACGAAAACGGACTACCTTCCACCGCACCCCCCATGTCACAATCCATATCGACATCCATGTCGTGCCCATCATTCACAAGCGGGGCATCGCAGTCGTCGCACTGCGGGAGTTGCAGCACGTGCTGTGGTTGGCGGGGTTGGATTGGGAAAATGAGGGGGCGGACGGGGGGCGTGGGGAGTTGTTTCCAGAAGGAGTGGAGGGTTGATTTTTGGGTGTGCAGGAGGGGGCGTGTGTGTGTGGGTTGTGTGGGTGGAGGGGGGAGGGGAGAGGCGAGGGGCGTGTGTTGTGCGGCGAAGAGTTTGGTTAGTGTTGTTTCTGGGAAGTAGCTTGTTAGATGATTGAGTTCGTGAGGATGGGGTAGGGACGTATGTTATGTACCGTGGATTGATTGTTCATCCGGACGATTATCGCGGAACCGTTTGCGTGTGCGGTAGCCCCAGTCGCTGCTCTTGACGCGGCTTGCGTTTGCGAAGGACCATGGGTTGGGGCGTGAGGATGAGTCGGTGTCCATGTCCATGTCCATTGCGCCGTCGTAGCGGGAGAAGAAGGAGGGCGATTGGGTTTCTGGGGTGGAGAGGCTGTCGGAGCTGGATGAGTCGTCGGAGCGCTTGCGTTTGATTGTCATTGTGAATGGTGTATGTGTGGTGGTGATGGACTGATGGACGATGTTGTGATGGTGGGACTTGGGAGATGTGGGATTTGTACTCTACTCCTTACTCTAGTGTTGGAGTGTGATAGACGGGATGGGATGGGTGTCTTGGGGGTGGAGCCGGATGGAGAGTGGATCGATGATGGATGTTTCTGCGCGTCTGAGTGGCTGGCACGCGACGGATCGCATACGCGTCGCGTGTGGGAAGTGCGATCGGGCGGTGGATCGACATGTTATCTACGTCAACCTGCACCACAAGCTATCTCACTACTACTACTACTACTACTACTACTACTACTACTACTACTGTGACCAAACATGCAATATCCTCGATTCAGATGAATGCAGCCAACCAAGCCAGAAGTGCTGATCTGGCATTAAATACAGTGTGAAGCTGCACATGCACTGCAAAGTCATGTTGAGCATATATACCAGCGCTCACATTGAATTGCATCAAGACTACTACTACCAATCTCTATTCGATTGTGCAGTAGACGTAGAAGTGGTACTGAGGTGTGCACGCGTTGAACGACGATGATCCAGACAGTTGCATCACAAGAGCATTACGTCGGTCCTATGAGCTGCGTCTCCCACCCCACCAAAGCTTCCCCGCCATACTCCAAGCCCCCAACTGCACCATCACCAAAACAGTCTCATCGCGACGCTCACCATACAAACCTCAAGGACCTTTCTCCGGGCTCTGAGCTCCTCTTTGAGACTACACAACTTCGCCATGGTTACTCGCAAACCATCGCACGCTGGCTCATGGTACAGTGACAGCAAGCAGCAGCTCTCGCAGCAGCTCGACGCCTGGCTGGACGCTGTGCCTAGCTCCACCACGCCCATTGGAACCACTTCGTCACAGCAAGGCGACGTCTCCATTCCCACTCCAAATGCCCGAGCGATCATTGCACCGTAGGCTGCCACTCCGAGTAATGGTCTTGATGATGATATAGGCTCATGGATGTGCAGGCACGCTGGTTACTCGTACTCCGGGCCTGCCGCTGCATGGGCCTACAAGAGCGTAGACTGGGCGAATGCGTAGGCTCTCACGTGTCCAGAGACAGGCGTGTGGTTCTATACTGATGATTCGCATAGTAAGCGCGTCTTCCTCCTCGGCCCATCTCACCACTACTACCTCACCGGCGCTGCAACAACCGCCTGCGACAAATATGCCACACCCCTCGGTGACCTCATCGTCGACACTGCACTCGTCAAGGAGATTCAAGAAGCCTGGGATCTCCAAGTCATGTCCAAGCGAGTCGACGAAGACGAACACAGTCTCGAAATGCACTTGCCGTACATCTACAAGATGCTCTCCCTGTACGTCCCCTCACTCCGGTCCCCCAAACCAACTAACTTACCAACAATGCACCACCAGCAAAAACCCCTCCTTCCAATCCTCACCCTCCTCCGTCCCCCTCGTCCCCATCATGATCGGCAACACCGACGCCCCCACTGAATCCCATCTCGGTGCCCTCCTCGCCCCCTACCTCTCCGACCCTACAAACATCTTCGTCATATCCTCCGACTTCTGCCACTGGGGCTCTCGCTTTCGCTACACATACTATCAGCCCGCCGACGGATCCTCGGCTCAGAATCTACGCTCCACGTCACGTGTGCCCAGCGACTACCCGATACACGAGAGCATTGCGGCGGTAGACAAGGAGAGCATGGATGCGGTGGAAAGTGGCGAGCATGAGCGGTTCCTGACGCAGTTGAAGGATACGGGGAATACGGTGTGTGGACGACATCCGATTGGGGTGTTTATGGCGGCCGTGGAGAAGGCGGGGTTGGGAGATAAGGGGCGGTTTAGGTTTTTGAGGTATGAGAGGAGTGGGTTGGTGGAGAGTGTAAAGGACAGTAGTGTTTCTTACTGTAGTGCTTTTGCTGTATTGTAGGCGAGGGAGGAGGGCAAGGCGGGGATATGACTAATGATGAAGAGGTCATGGATTACGAGATATCATAGATTAACGAGTACGCAGATGTATTACCCAGTCAACTATTGCTGATACCCACCAGTGACATTCTCAACCAATATAATGCGACGCTATGAACAGCAGATTCCCCCAATCATGAAACCTTCCCTCGAAACATGATTCCACACACTCTTCACTCAATAGGCACAACACAATACGCAACTTGCACCCTCGCAGCATTGCCACGATTTCCACAACAGCCACAAGTCAACCACAACATTACTTACTACCACCCCTCAAAACAGAGTATCCATGGCATTGACCCACCTCTCCACAATCGCGCCCTCGCACTCCTCCTCACTCATTTTGCAACAACCAGACAAGACAGTTAATACATACGTTAGCAGCTACTAACATCCTACACATATACCTCACTATCAACTTAAAATTTTACACAGATATTATAACCAAATACCTACATTACCGGGTAACTTTGTCACATTCCATGTCGT